TTTCCTTATTTATTTGCACCAAACCTTTAAGGACTTTGACCTCCCTAAATCTTGGATGTAATATTCACTTTAGTTGTAAAACTCAACATATTTTAACAAATCAATTGACCAGATTGAAAGTAAATTAAGATTGAAGTGAAAAGATCATCATAACTTCTTTAACATTCTCATGACACAACCAATTCAAATCACCATTTCACAAAATTTCAAGACAAGGAGAAAGATAGAGAAAACTACTCAGAACTCGTGGAGAAGATACTACAAAACTTAGAATTTATATATAAAAGCAAAGTCATACAAACTTCAATAAGTAAATACCACTTATCTCTAATTCCTCCCCAAGCAAACTCGACTCCAGGGGGTTTCTCCCTGGATTTATGAAGGGAAATTCTCCACGACGTCGTGAAATGGGCTAGCTAAAAAGCTTTTTCCTATTTCATGAACTTCTTTAGACTTCGCAAAAGCAAGCTAGCTACAAAGCTTCTCTTGCTTTGCCAAGTCCGACCGCCCAAGTTCTCCAAGTAAAACTGTGGAATCCAGAGTAAGAGGAGTGAGAGACCCTAGCTCATCAAGACTTGTGTTAAGGCTCACAACAAAGGGGAGACACTCGACTCTACGGAGGGTATCTGACCACGTATGAAAACTCCTAACATAAAGGCTTGCTCTATGAAGACCAACGATCCATCACATAGACATGTCGTGGCGCAGGATCACGTTGGCGCATGCACCTCGTGTGGGTGATAAAACCCACACACATAAACACCACTAACCCTAAGGTTGACTAGGAGTTTTAGAAAAATCTCACCACCATGAAGGTTGCAGATGCGTTCACTTTGCATTCTCCAAGCTCGCTTCAGCATTAGTACGACCACGGGTCGTGTACCTCACAATACTTGTGAATCAATAGAAAGAGACAAATGATGTATGCAAGTATCCAAAATAAATAATTATCACATAGGAAAATAAGACCGATACATACCTTCACGAGACGGTCAGACGGGAATATGCGAAAGGTCGCTAGAGACTCCCCAAAAACTAGGGCATCACCACATGAAAAATCTAGAACCCTTCCACCCATTTGCATCCATGGTTCCGGGTAGGAGCAGCTCGAAACATAGGAAAAGAAAATGGGAGTTTTGTATCATGCGGTGAACCGAGAGGGAGGTTCGGGATCGACCTCCTAGAGCGTCGCCTCAAAGGGGAAAGGACCAGCTAGAGGAATGTCACATAGAGGAGGCCCAGACGATTGAGTCTGACTGTAGGAGAGGGATGTCGACGATAGGGCTTCCAACGAGAAGAGGTGTCGACGAGCCGATCAGATTCGCACTAGGTGCCGCGAAGAGAGGGGGAAAGGGTGTAATCGAGGAAGATGCACAAGAAAAGGGCACCAGCGGAGAGGTGGTGCCGGCGACAGGTGCGATGCCGGTGGGCAGTCTAGCGAAATCGCGAACTGCGGAAGGTAGCCGTGCCCCTCTCCGCAACTTAAGGAGTCGGTGTTTTCACGAGAAAACCCTAGAGCACGCCATCAGGAGAAGGGTGCTGGTGTGCATTGATTTAAGAGGGATTTTTTTTAAAATTTTTAATTTTATTAATAATATTATTAATTATTTAAAACACCTTGATTTGCGTGTTTTTAGCTCAAAGTGCAATCATAACGAAATGAATGTCCTCTAAATGAAATTGACTTTTTGGACGCACTCCCGCGATTTGTTTTGTTATTTGAGGTCGTCCGGACAACTTTTTTGACGATCATACCAAAATGACAATTCACACATTTTTTGCTCGCACACGAAGTTGTAGCAAAACATATGTCATCTCTAGGTAAAATTGACATTCTGACATACTTGTGTTATTCGTTTTGTCGTCCGGTGTCATTCAAACAAGCTCGTCGGTGGACGAACCAATTTGAACCATTTTTGTGCTTGGCGTGACAAATAATATTTGTCGATCCAATTGAAGTCTTCTGACTTGCAAAATGCTGACTGGTCTTCGCGAAAACCAAAGCCTCGCAAGATGGTTATGGCTACATGCCCCTCAACACATGCCGAATAATCTCAAATGAATGTTTTGCACTACAAAAGTCAACATATGCATCAAACAATGTTTCATAGTGCTCGATCGAACATCCAACATTGTGACATAAAAAATTGATGCCAACAAAGGACTCCGAACAAGTATGTTGCACACCTAAAACACAATGCACTTGTTGGAACCTGCTCAATTTTTTTATCAGATTTAGGTTAGTAGGTGACCAACACGACCTAAGCGGCTAAAAAGAGCCAGGTACCCTAGGAAGGAAAAACCACAAGAGTCATATCCACTCTTAGGGGGATAGGGAAGAATGCACAAGGGACTTACATCCAATTCCGACAGCGAGTTCAGAGGCCATAGAGACATGACCCGAAAAGTGGTTCAGAGACCGTAGAGACATGATCATGACCGGTAGGTTCAGTGGTCGTATAGGCGTGACCTAGGAATGAGTTCAGGGGTCGTAAAAACATGACTCAGAAAAGTAGGTTTAGGGGCCGTAGAGGCATGACCTAAGAATGAGTTTAGGGGTTGTAGATGCATGACCCAAGACAATGGTTTAGGGGTCGTAGAGACGTGACCACTAAGAAGAGATCCAGAGGCCATAGAAGTGTGACTAAAGAGTGAACCAAATGTAATGCTTCCAATACCTGCAACAATCATTTTAAAAAAAGATCGTTGCTTTTGAATCATGAATTAGGCCAGAAGTGTAAGTGTGGCCCGCCTGGGAGCAGGCTACAATGGGCCATTGCCGTTTAAAGTACGAGCCGCGAGCAATGTGAATAGTTCGTTACAAGAATGCTTAAAACTTTCCCGCGGGACACCTGATCGTGTACTGGAGGCTTCTTTTTATCTGCTCGAATTTTGCAGCTCACCTGTTTCCAAGCCGTGCCCTTCTTCTCATTTTATTTATCGATCGAGCAGGGGAAGGGTTCTCAATTTGCTACCATCAAACCTTCCTTGCAGCGAAAGTCCGCTAGCCCTGCACCGTGTAAGTGATTTCCTTCTTTATCCCAGCATCGTTTTCGATTCTAGGGTTTCTTTTTTCAAGATCTACGTCTTTTGTTTTTCGGGCACTTCTAGTTCTTTTAGATTTGTCACATTACAATAGTTCCACGCACAAGATCGGGTTTTGTTGGTCTCAGGGGTATTTTGGGTTTAATTCGTCGCAGAAGCTTCGGATTTTGAATTGTTTTATTTTTGCCGAGGCAACAATTAGCGAGAGAAGCTGAGAAAATGAGTTTCGTTTTTCGTGGAAGCAGAGGAGACATTGAAACCGGATTCCCAGGCTTTCTCCCCGAGAGGCGCGTCATGGTAACCTAATTGTTAGGCACTGATTGTTTTTGATGTTTATTGTTATTCATGCAAGAATATATCTTGGGATCATCTTATTAATTATTTTATTCTTTTTAACAGAGGATGCAACCAGGTGTTCGGCCTGCCAATTCCAATTCCATGGTTTTTCTCATCACCGGTATTGTTTTTCTCTTTTAACTTTTGAGATCAGAAATCAAAAGCCCTTTTTTTATATCAATTATATGTCTTATTAATTAATAACTACTTTGACTTTGATGATTGGACAGTTATTTTGTTGTTTTTGATACTGAACTCACATCAGATGTCTCCAAATTTCTTGGTATGTCTTAAGGGTGTTGAATTGTTATTTTCCTTACTGATGTTGAAAAGATTGGGTTTACATGGTTTCATGATTGAGCATATTTTATCTTTTCGTAGCTTTGGTTGGTTTTGGGGATTTTTCTAATGGCTACTGCATTAAGGATGTATGCAACCTGCCAGCAACTTCAAGCTCAGGCGCATGCGATGGCCGCCAGTGGCTTGCTTGGACATACTGAATTGCGGCTTCATTTTCCTTCGTCTATTGCTTTGTCTAATAGAGGAAGGTTGGAGAGTCTTCGACTTCAATTGTCTCTACTTGATAGGGATTTTGATGATTTAGGTATGATCTGGTTTGCGATACTCTCATTTGTTTTAGTTTTGTCATAGGCTTCCCTTTCAAAAACATCATCTTTTTATGGTTTGATTTGTATATATAAGGGGCATTTATGTGCAAACCATTCAGTTTCTATTTCTTTACATATCTAACACCTAAACTTTGTATTTTACATTTATACCATCCAAATTGTTCATATCACTTAAAAAATACGACCATTTGAACTTTTAATAGTGTAATATACCTTTTTATGCTTAGGTAAGGTGACATATTTGTAAAGATAGAGGTTTTGGTGTTAGATTTGTAAGTACATAATAATTGAGTGGTATGTACATAAATCTTCCATATATATATATATTGTTTTGCATAGATTATGATGCTTTAAGAGCACTTGATGCTGATAGCCCTGAAATTCCTTCTATGAGTGATGAAGAGATCAACGCACTTCCCGTTCACAAGTATAAGGGAAAATCACGCCAAGGATCCGCATCTTCAAGACATAGGTAAGCAAAATGTAATTTTTTTTTGCATTCTATCATGCATGGGTGTAATTTGATGATATAGATATGTTATAATATGCCTCTGGTGATGCAAATAATAGTTTAAGTAATTTTTTTGAAGAAAGTATTCTGCATTTGATTGTATTTTCTCCAAAATTTGCAAGGTATGAAATGTTGATGTTACAGAATTTTGAGTGATTATCAGATAGTGTAAGACTGAAATAATTGAAACAACTTATAAATCTTTGATGAGTTGGCATAAAGGGAACCATTTAATCTGGTCATTTGTCTAACTACCCGCATCAGTGCTATCAAAGTGCAAAGCGTGCATAGCTTTATTTTTACTTCAATGTGTGGAGCATAGAGCGAAGCGGCACTTTTTTTAACCAAAGCGCTGATAGGCTATATAAAAATTTTAAATGTATAAATAAATTCATTAATAATTATTAATTATAAAGTATTGATATAAAATAAAAAAAGTGCGGTGCAATACTTAACTTGAAGGCAAATATTGAGGGTGGATCTATAAATTAAAAGTTTAAATAATTTCTAATAGTTTTATGCAATAATTTAAAGCTTAAAAAACTGTGAAAAAACCTACAAATTAACTATTGTGCTTTGAGCACGCTTCGATGTCGTATTGCTTTTCGTTTTGTTTTGCTCAAGTGCGATTTTAAAAACATTGACCCACATAAGAGTATATGGATCATTTATTAGAATCTCATGGATATAAAATATTTTTTTTATTAAGGATATATTTTGTATCATTTATGATTAACTAGGAAGCATTTATGCTTCTAAGCTTATGTGTGCTATTATTTTTGCTTGTAAATTTGGTTTCTCAATGAAATTGGTGAAGTTGGGTCCATTGCTTTCTTTTGAATTGGATTGCCTTTTTTTTTTGAGATATATATTCTAATTTCTTGATTTTGTTTCAGTTTTGTCAGCATTGATGGAACTTCACAGCAAAAATCATCATCTTCTCTAGGATCTTCTTCCGAGGTAGCATTTCTTTGATATCACTGCCTTTTTTATTTATTTATAAAACTAACAGATAAGTTTTTAAAAGGAACTATAGATCTGATTTATTTGCACATGATATAACCAAATCATTATGAATTTAACAAATCATTGTGTATGGAAGTTAAGTAGTTGTGCTCATCATGATTTGGTTGTATAATTGTAAATAGAAACACCTCTGTTTCTTTAAATATGCAATATTTTAATATTTATATGTTTCCTCTTTTAGTAAAGAATAAGTTATCATTCCTAACTGAAATATTTTATCATATTGTTTTTTAATCACTTAATGGAACCCTCAGCAATAATAACGAAGGATTTATTTATTTGTAAATTAGAACTTATGTGTGGCCAACACCACTTAGTGGGACAAAGACTTGTTGTTGTTGTATTAGAGCTTGACATTTGAGTTTTTTCTGCATACTTTTAGTATCTTACATTTCAAGCTCCGTTCTATACCTTAAGTTTATGATGGCTCAATTTGATGCAATAAAATAATGGTGCAATATAATTATTTGCAATATAGTTCTTCAAAAATCATTCTAATTAGATTAGGGTGCTAGAGACTAGCTGAGCAGCTTCAAATAGTTGTTGAACATAAGTGAAAAAAATATATAAATAGATATTTTTTTGAAATGTGCTTAACAAGTTTATAAATTAATAGATAAGTATTGTGAAATTTTAATTTCAGAGGATTTTTAGGAGCTTAGGTACCAAAATATTTAACTTATTATTGTTTATATCATATTATATGAATAACCATCAGTAATAGAGTGAATACTCATTTGAAGTCATTATCAAGCGTTGTAAAATCATACTTAATGGTCCTCCACTTAGGGTGGAAAGCACTCAAGAAGTGCAATTTACTAAATGAAAGCAAATTTCATTCAACCATCAACATTACTCGTAGAAAGTGAAGAGGGGAATACATAGACTTTAGCAATAGGTTGCCTAAACGCCAAAAGAAGAGAGGGAGTCATTTAAGCATGATTATGTGTTCCAAAATTGATGGCGTGAGTTTTGATGTGTTTGATATGGAATTTAAAATTTATTGTTTGTTTTCAATGGAAAATCTATACAGTTGAGATACTTTAAAGGCATAATAATGAGCTTTTGCTTTCATTGGGAGTGGTAAATAGGAATGGGAAAAAAGATGTTGCGATAGGTCATATGATGATGTTGTGGTAAAAAATGCTCAATGAGCTATGCTAAGATAAGAAAATGGTCAAGCAAGTGTAATGTTCATGCCTCAATAGACTCATCACGTGACACACAACATGATACCCTAAGTATCCGAAGCAGTTTAACCCACAAATATTCGAGAACTTTGATGATCATCACGAAAACATGTTCGATCGGATAAGTGTCAATCTGACATCAAGGTCAAACTTGATGATGACTTGATCATCTAAGAGTTTAATAGTGACAGGAAAACTAGAAGTTTAATTTTTTTAAGAAATGGAACATGTGAAAATTTTTATGCTTGAAAATCACATCAAATGAATACCCATATAAAAACATAAATTTATCATTCATTTTATCAATTGAACAACATCGTTGTCCAAAATACCGAGATGGTTCTTGTAGGCCCGGCCACCCCAAAATCGGACTCCAATCAAGTGAGTTTGACGATCAGATCCAATCTCTATTTTATGGTGATGGGTTCAATCTCTTTTGGTTGAATTGGGTGTAACTTCTTTATTTCTCATGGAAATTGCACAATTTTGGTTTTGTTGGGAAGCTAATGCAATCCGCTCTTGTCATTCTTATTCGCCACCTGGCTAATTACAGCTTCAAATTAGTACTTAACCTTTAGTTTGACTACCCTTTTCTTTTTACTCTCTCTGAGTTCTGCCCTTCGTCTATTCCTTTTCCTTTATAAACTCTCTCAAGTTTCTCTATTCCTCGCCTCTTTACTGGGATGCTTTTGTTTCCCTCTACCTTGATTCATGATAGTAGTTACCACCATATTGTTGAATTCTACCAAGCATCCAACAGATCTCTCTCACTTTTAAGGAGGTAAACTCGTCATTTGTACTCTCCTTTGTTCAATTATTTTCTTTATCTCGCACTTTTGCTTTACCCATCACTTGTATCTATATCTATTACATATCAAGAAGCACCACAACCTTTATAAAAACACAATATGGATGGTGAAATGGATGCACTTCTTGGTCATCATATATATGTAAAAATTGAAGTTTGGGTGTTAGACATGTAAATATATAAGAATTGGGTAATATTTATGTAACTCTTCAACTCTTTTGTTTTGTTGAACTTTACTGCACTAAGCAATAACATTTTTTCTCATTTGGTTTTTTGTTGATTAAAATTTATTTCCTATTTCCAGAAAAAGCAAGAAAACTCTAAGGCAGATGGAACTATGAGGAACTCAGACGACGAACTAACATGCAGTGTATGCTTGGAGCAAGTTGTTGCTGGAGAATTGATAAGAAGTTTACCCTGCTTGCATCAGGTTTTATTCTTTTGCTGTTTTTTATTCAAAGATAATCGTATTTTTACACAATTTTTTGTACTTTCTTGCAATTAACCGCAATGATGGTTCATTATTTTGTACCTTCTGATGAATAAATTATTAGTTTTGTGGCACTTACATACATACCACGAAAATTTTACATTTTACATTTATAGCACCCAAATCTTTCATATCACATAAAAAATACCCTCATTTTAACTTTTGAAAAGTGGAATACACATTTTCTCGCTTAGGATAGGTGGTATGGTATGTATTAAAATTTGAAGATTAGATGTTGGATATGATAATACCTAGGAATAGAGTGATATGCATGCAAATCTATGTTATTTTTGTTTTTATTGTTATTGACTGACATGTAAGTCGATTTATTTGGGGATTTGGAAGAAGGTGGAGGTGTTTGTGGGGCACAACGGCAGCATATAAGTCGATTTATAGTTTTTGAACAATAAACATACATAAAAGCCATATTTTAGTGTTTTAAAAAATAACTCGATTAGTTTTTAAAAATAGTAAACAAAAAATTCTAGTCAAATTGGTTTTGCCCAAAAATTTAATACAAAACAAGTACTATCAAACATGACGAGAATATATATATATATATATATATATCCAGGGGGGACATTTACATACATACCACGCAATTCTTATGTATTACATATCTATCACCTAAACAATCATATCGAGATTCATTAATCTTTCACATCAAAAGACCACTATGATTAACTTTTTGAAAGTGAAATACATCTCTTCATGCATAGGTTTATGACATCAAGGTTTGTGTGTTATAATTGTAAATACATAAGAATTATGTGGTATGTAAGTAAATTTCTCTTTTCTCTTCCTTTCTAACCCAATTAAAACTCATGGAGTTTGAAGCTTACTTGTATTTCCTTACTGGTGTAGTTTCATGCAAGCTGCATAGATCCATGGCTGAGACAGCAAGGAACTTGCCCTGTCTGCAAGCACAGAGCTGGTGGTGTGGGGCACAACGGCAGCAGCGGCGGCACTGATGCTGGTGAAATGGATGCTTCTTCTTTGGTTTAGTACCGTTGGAAAACTTACCGAGAACACACACTCCATGATTGCAGAAGAATTGATTCAATATTGTTATTGGGTGCTCCATGGAAGCATGTTTTTGACCTCCACTGTATAGTAGTTTACGCATACTATTTGAACTATAGTGCTCCATAGACGTGCTTGAACTATACTGCTGCTTTTATGCCCGGCCTTGCACAGTTTTAACCAAACGGTTTATTGGAGCTTCAGTACTTTTTATATTTATTTTGACTGAAAAAAAATAATAAAAAAACTGAATCTTGCCGTGGATTACCAAAAATATATCTCTTGATATTGTATAAAAAACCTACCTATTTGAAGACATTTTATGGGATATAAACTCTTGAAAAAAATCTTCAGTACTTTTTATATTTATTTTGACTGAAAAAAAATAATATAATAACTGAATCTTGCCGTGGATTACCAAAAATATATCTCTTGATATTGTATAAAAAACCTACCTATTTGAAGACATTTTATGGGATATAAACTCTTGAAAAAAATTACAACAATATGATGAGAACAACAGCTCAAATTTTAAAGTTAATGATAAGAAGTGCATGTTGGATTTTTTGGTGGTAGCATGGGGGAGCCAACACCTTCAAAAAAACTGAATCTTGCCGTGGATTACCAAAAATATTTCTCTTGATATTGTATAAAAAATCTATCTATTTGAAGACATTTTATGGGATATAAACTCTTTAAAAATACAACAATATGATGAGAACAACAGCTCAAATTTTAAAGTTAATGATAAGAAGTGCATGTTGAATTTTTTGGTGGTAGCATGGGGGAGCCAACACCTCGTGTAGGCAACTTGATTTTCAAATTGGGGATGGATGTAAATGATAAAGCTAGCTGAATCTTGCAATTTAAATTCACACAGTTCTTACTGCCATGAATAAGAAAGCTAGAGCAAGATTTTTCATTTTATCATAATTAGTATTGTGGCAAGCATTATTGTCATTCAGTGAAGTACGTGCATCTTCTAAATTTAATAATTAGCAATATTGTCATTCAGTGAAGCTACTTAGATTTGCTTGTTAAAAATTTAGGAGCTGTTAATAAGAAGGAAATTTTGTTTAGATTTACAAACAAAGCACAAATTTTGCTACATTTCAAGATCTAACACCTAAAATGTGTCGTATTGTAATGGCATGAAAATATTAAATTCTTACTCACAATATCACTAATATTAACTCTAGACGCCAAAAATATCAACTCGAATCTCAAAGTCATGAGATGACTCAAATGAAGGTCAAGCAAACAGTGCGCCCTACCACCGTCTTGGCAAGGAAAATTCGATCGGTCTCGCGAAAGGCTCTAATGAAGGATCAAGCCTGCAATCCCAACTGACCAGGACACACGTCTGAGTGCCCAATCGCAAGAGACCGACCGATCCACAACGAAAGAGATCGCCGCACGGCCGGGCACCTTGACAGACCGACAAGCATGCCGAAGGGCACAATCGCCACTTGGTCGGTCGTCTTAATCTACTGATATAAAGCTAGTCGGTCTGCCGATCACTGTCATAATTGAAATTCAAATTGCACTACAAATTTGACATGAAATTCTTTCAAATAATTAGCGCTTTAATCCCATTAAGAACGACTTTCATAACTGTTTCTTCTTTTTTGTAATCGTACTATATACATCCCCAAGCAAAAAATACAAATAAAGAGGCCTCTCCCTCGACTTTTGCAACAGTGAATTCAATGTGTACTCTACTCTCACTCCTCATCTCTTTCATCTGACTCTAACTCTCGGGGTGTGATTCACAAAAGACAAATTAAAATTCAAAATTAACGATTTTTAAAGAAACATGCTAATGCATTCCTTTGTTTTAATATATTAGAGATATTAAAAATTACATATCAAATATATTTAAATTTATAAAAAAAATTATGCTGTGTATGTAAATTCCCAAATATTTAATATCTCCAAGTTTTACCCACCCCTCACTAGGGCTGTAATCATGCCGAGCCGAGTATATCATTATTAAGATTTGGTTTGGTATAATTATATGTTGTTCATGTTCGACTTAAACTTGTGTCGATCTTTTATATATTGTTCAAGTTTGATTTGTTCAACCTTTTCAATATTTAAACTTAGATTTATTTATGAAAAATGAACAAAAATTTAAACGAGTTAAAATTTAAAATGACAATCGGTATTCATATAAAAAATTTAATAAAAAATTTTGCAATTCTAATCATATCTAGTAATTTGTTGATTATGAACTAAAAAATTTTTAAACTTTACTAAACATCTACATAATTATTAGTGATAGGAGCGCATTAACCCAAATTTTGTAAATGGAAGAACTAAGTAGATCCTAAAAATTAAGGATGAGCTTTTACTTAATCATATTAATAAGAAAATAATAGCAACACAAAAATTTACATTATTGTTATTGATAATTGCAATGTGATAGTTATAAAAAATGAAGTCATTACATTTAAGGCTATAAAAACTCAACAAGAAAAATCTTTTATGATACTCTCTTTAACGGTAAAAATCTCTTTCTAAATTACAATTCACATATTATTAAAATAAATATATAATTGATAACCAAACTAAAAATATTATTGATATAATAATATTTTACAATTAAATCTATAATTTAAAAAATTACAAGTAATTAAATTTTATTATATATATATATATATATATAATTTA